GCTGGTAGCCTGTAGTGGGCAGGTACAGCTGGCACAGGGCACTGCCAGCCCAACAACTCAGAACTCAGAGCACTCTGGGGTCAGAAGTCTGAGCTACCGGGCTCAAGTGTGGCTTCAATCACTGGCTGTGGACCCATTCCTAAGAACTGTCCAGGCTTGAGTCCTTCCCTCAACTACAGAAATGCAAAACCAACACTGGCCTCATGGAGAGGCTCTGAAGATAAAGGAGGAGAAACCTGAAAAGTGCCTGGTGGACACTGGGGACATTAGTGTGGGCTGGGTGACAATGCTAAGGCTCAGGAAAGCTAGGGGAGAGGGGCAGCTCCCCCTCCTGGGTCCGTCTCCCCCAGGCCCTGTGAGGGCGGTGGAGGCTCTCTCCAGGCCCTGATCTGGCCCCACCCCAGCACATCTCCAGGTTTTTCTCAGCCCTGGTTCGTTTTGGTCCTGCAGTCACAGTGGGCAACACTACGATGCACCCTGTCCTGTGTCACAGTGTTGCCCACTCAGGCTCACTTTGTCCCTGGGCCACTTGCCAGCTGAGGGATGTGGCCACGTTTTGTGCCTTCTGCACCTCAGCCTCGTTTTCAAGTGCAGGTGACGATGGTGCCCACGCAGAGCAAATGACATCTCCTCTCTTCATCCAGCCTAATTATCCAATTTTCCAACCCTCAATGGGCAAGGAAGAGTGTGGTTTCCTCCAGAAGGTGTGATGTCAGCAGTCATGGGGCAACCAACAGGGAAAGACACTTGAAAATAGAACCAGCAGGGAAGCACAGGGACCCAGTGAGGGTGCGAGCCCTGCAGATTTAGCCACCTTTAAGCACAAGAGAGAGATTACCATTACTAACATCTTAGCCAGAAAGCTTTATTAGCTATTTTCAAAAAGCATAAATTTGTGTAATATGTATATGGTAATATATGTATATTGAGACATTGTTTTTCTCTTGTCACCCAGGCTGGAGTGCAATGGTGCAATCTCGGCTCACTGCAACCTCCACCTCCTGGGGTCAAGTGATTCTTCTGCCTCAGCCTCCTGAGTAGCTGGGATTACAGGCATGCACTACGATGCCCGGCTAATTTTGTTTTTTTTTTAATAGAGGTGGGATTTCTCCATGTTTTTTGTGGATAACCCCTCATATAAGCACTGAGGAAGGAGAACTAAGCAGAATCCTGGCACAATTAGTGACTAAAGAATATCTCAGCTTATAGTGTCACTACTCAGTTATTTCCTTTTATATAATCTTTTATATGTAATCATATATTAGTTTATAGAATTGGGGCTCAAAGAATATCTCAGTTTATAGCATTACTACTCAGTTATTTACTTTTATATAATGCTTATATATAATCATAAGTTAGTTCATAGAATGAGGGTCTAAAGAATATCTTACCACTCAGTTATTTCCCTATATATGTATAGATAACTGTATCTTAGTTCATAATCAGAGAAATGCCTCGAGCAGACACGGTACAGAGGATGAATTAAGGAATAAGCAGCTTATACTCGGAGGAATGTCTAGAGCAGACTTGGTGCAGAGCATGATTTAAGGGAAAACAGTTATACGAGGACAAGAATCCATGGCCCAGGCGGCAGCGTTCAGTATCGTAAAGATACCTGCCGTATGGCAGGCTTGGAGCGAGAGCCACTCCTCCTGATAAAGGAGTTGTAGGACCTTGCTCCAGTTCTTATGGAAGGACTGCCCTCAGACCGGCAATCCACCTTGGTGACTGTGACCTTTATCAGCTCTTGTTACTGTGCTGGCTCAAAAGCATCCCCCTCTAGAATTCATTGGACGCTGCCAGCAGTTGGCGGCAGACCCTGACAGCTCTGTCACTGCTGTGTGACTTAAAGCATCCTCCTATAGATATTCTTGGAAGTAGCATGCCCATAGATAAGAGATATTGCACACTGCACCCTCTTCACCACGCACAGCCCACCTCCATGCCTTGGTGACCTAATGGGGGTAGACCCCTTACTGCACATGGCCCACCTCCTTGCCTCAATGACCTAATGGGGATGGACCCTTTGCTACGCACTGTCTACCTCCTAGCCTAGGTGACCTAATGGGGGTGGACCCCTTGTTTGTTGCTCACGACCCCATCACTATCCTTAAAGGTGACTTCACTCACTACCCTGCCCCCTCACCTATACCCAATAAATACACATGCTTCTGCACATTTGAGGCCTTGTATGTCTCTGCTTATAGGTGGCATAGCCCCCTAAGCGTGGCTGTGCTTTCTTTGTACTTCTGTGTCCTTTCTCTTTATTTCTCAGCTCCTGCTCCTCAGCACAGCATAATGGACACCGCGCAACTCTGTGAGGCCCTAAGCCCTACAGTTATTCAGGCTGGTCTCAAACTCCAGACCTCAGATGATTCTCCCACCTTAGCCTCCCAAAGTGCTGCGATTACAGGCATGAGCCACATGGCCTACTATAATACTTTTTAAAATTACCATCAAAACAAAACTCTGGGCATTGCAACTTCCAGTGAGCAACTGGGACAGATGGCATCATCAGGAAGGCAGGCCCTGCCATGCCCCAATGTACCACTGCCCCAGATGGTGGCAGCCTCGCCAGAAGCACCTTGTACCTCACCTGCACAGGCCCAGGGTCCCAGCTCCCGACACACCTTCTCCTGCTTTTCCTTTTCTGTCCTTTCCTTTTTTTGATAAACTACCTGCATAAAGGAAAAACCACTCTGAGAACTAGAAACATCTCAATGAGAAATCCACGGTTGCCAGAGGGTAGAAGGCCCTGTTCATTCACACTGAAAAGCTCAGGCATTTCTGCTAAAGTCTCTCCTTTTACTTTGGGATGCTGACTTCTGCTTCCATCTCAACATGGGCATCGTGTCACCACCTTCAAGAGGAGAAAAACTAAGTAGTGCTTTGCAAAGGGGCAGCGGCGTTTTTCATTTCTGACAGCGTCAGGGCGCACGGCCATGCAGTTGAGCAGGTGGAAGACACACATCAGGCCCTAGAACTGTTCTCTTCTGTACATTCTTGAGTATTTTTAGAGTTGTGAAAATGCCACAGATACTGGCACCTGTGAGCCATCCCCATGAGGATCATTGCACAAGGCAGTGCTGCTCATTCCCAGAACATCCTACCATGGGCTGCACTTAGTGACCCAAGGCCAAGCCGAGGAGGACTCCAGCCACAGTGCACCATCCTCAGTTCCTAGGGGCATGCTGCCGGCAGGGGCAAAGTTATCCTTAGCAACAAGATACAGAAAGAAAGGAAAAAGGAAGGAAGTGTTGTCAGTGGGCCGGTTCCAGCTCTTGACTTTGCCACACAGAAGAATTTGAGAGGAAGTCCAAAGTAAAAGTAAGCAACAGAGTTTATTGCAAAATAAAGTACACTCTGACAGCTGATCAGGGAAGCCTGCTCAAAAGTGAGGCAGTACCGCCCGGCGTGGTAGTGCGTGCCTGTAGTCCCAGCTACTTGGGAGGCTGAGGTGGGAGGATCGCTTGAGCCCAGGAGTTCTGGGCTGTAGTGGGCTATGCTGATCGGGTGTCTGCACTAAGTTCGGCATCAATATGTTGAGCTCCCGGGAGCAGGGAACCACTAGGTTGCCTAAAGAGGGGTGAACCTGCCAAGGTCAGAAACGAGAAGGTCAAAACTCCTGATGCTGATCAGTAGTGGGATCGCGCCTGCGAATAGCCACTGCACTGCAGCCTGGGCAACATGGCGAGACTCTGTCTCTAAAAAAAAACAAAAAGAAAAAAATAATAAGACAGTACCTTCCCCTCATGGGAGTCTTACATGATTATTGAAGAGGTGGGAAGGGGTGTTGTTTTAAGCATGTCTGTGGTCTTCTGGGCGTGCGTGCACTGTGGTTGTACACTCCAGGACATACATCTCATGTCTCATTAGTATCTTAACTTCGCATTCAGGGCTGTGTTTCTATTATATAATGAGCATAGGCCAGCCCAAGGACACTAATCGTGGGTTTCTGTGCTTGAACAGACTTGGAGATTTTTCCCTTCTGCTCTTCCACCTCCTTGCTGCAGGATGTTCTAACCACAAGCGTAGGACATGGTGTGTGCACTGTGGAACAGCTTGTTCTCTCCATCCACCTGACAAGTCTCTTGTTTCCTTTCAAGGGAGGCTGTGAACACTGATCTCACCTACCTCAGAAGGACAATGCAGCAGTAGCTACCATGAGCAAGAGAGATGATTCCGGAAGTGCAGGACATGTCCCCCAGATGCTGTGACTGTGCACACAAGAGGTGAGTCCAGCTGGCTCTCAGGGTGCTCACTACCTTCATCTGGGGGCCTGGAGGACATCAAGTCCTGAGAACGCCACGTTCTAGAGGAGTAGAATGAACTGACAGATACACAGCAAAGCTCCACACACTTTTCCTGTTCTCTGTGCCTGCCATGTTCTTCATCAGTGTCCTCTCTCTTTTCAGCTACTACTATTGACTGGCTGGAAAAAAATAGAGCAATAGTAAAACTGGAGACAAGTCTTTGGTGATGAAGACAAACGTTGGCTACTTCCAGGATTTTCTGGCTTTGGCTATGATTGTTTTCCAATTCACCTTATGGGGATGGATTCAGAGAAAGCTTCTATTACAAATCAAAACGAACATGCCAGAAGTATTGGCTCAAATCAACTTTGTCTTATTAAGCCACATAGTGAATCAAAAGACAGCAGGCTGGGCTCAGTGGTTCATACAGCACCAGAACTTCAGATATTAAAGAGAAATGGTGATTTTTTTTTTTTTTTTTTTTGCGGAGGGGAACAGAGTCTTGCTCTGTCGCCAGGCACCAGGCTGGAGTGTAGTGGCACGATCTCGGCTCACCGCAACCTCTGCCTCCCAGATTCAAGCAATTCTCCTGCCTCGGCTTCCCAGGTAGCTGGGACTACAGGCACACGCTACCACGCCCAGCTAATTTTTTTGCATTTATAGTAGAGATGGAGTTTCACCATGTTGACCAGGATGGTCTCAATCTCTTGACTTCGCAATCCACCCGCCTCAGCCTCCCAAAGTGCTGGGATTACAGGCTTGCGGCACCATGCCCGGCTGAAACGGTGATCTTAAAAGTAGCCACAGTGAGTGGGCTCAGAGGTGCTCACTGCTGATGTCATGGTTCCTTTGCTAAACTGCATCATCGCTGTGTCCCAGAACATGGGCATCGGCAAGATCGGGGGCCTGCCCTGGCCACTGCTGAGGAGTGAATTCAGGTATTTTCAGAGAATGACCACAACCTCTTCAGTAGAAGGTCAACAGAATCTGGTGATTATGGGTAGGAAGACCTGCTTCTCCATTCCTGAGAAGAATCGACCTTTAAAATAAAGAATTAATTTAGTTCTCAGCAGAGAACTCAAGGAACCTCCACAAGGAGCTCATTTTCTTGCCAGAAGTCTGGCTGATGCCTTAAAATTTACTGAACAACCAGAATCAGCAAATGAAGTAGACTTCATTTGGATAGTTGGGGGCAGTTCTGTTTGTAAGGAAGCTGTGAATCACCTAGGCCATCTTAAACTATATGGAACAAGGATTATGCAGGACTTTGAAAGTTCTATTTGTATTTGGAGAAATACAAACTTCTGCCAGAATACCCGGGTGTTCTCTCTGATGTCCAACAGGAGAAAGGCATGAAGTACAAATTTGAAGTATGTGAGAAGAATGGTTAATATGAAGGTGTTTTCTGGTGTATTATAAGTTGTTCCCCCTGTCCCAGAAAAAAAGTGTGTATTTTCCATTAGAAAAAAAAAAGACTTTTGTTGACTTTAGATCTATGGATAATTATTCCCCATGAATCTTGACTCTATCAGATACCATTTATGAAACGTTCTTGCTAAAACCAAGTGCCTCTCCAAGACCCCAACTGAGTCCCCAGAACCTGCTCCAGTGAGCTGCTGTTCCACACCTATCACACGTGGCACTCACGGCAGTCCTTGACATTGCCAGGCTTTTCAAATGTCGGTAGTATTCATTAAAGATGAAGATGTACATACCCTTCAACTAAGCAGTTTCGCTCGTGGGAAATACTGAAAGCTTCTTTCGTGTGTATCCAGAGGTTTGTGGAGACATGATGCAGCCTTGATTGTAAGCAGCAAGAAAACTCAAAACAACCTGGAAGTCCAGTGATGGGAAAATGAACATATTTCTGTCTTTGACTGGAGAACCGAAAGCAGGTTCCAAGGCTGACATTTCAGTGAAAGCAGTTTATTTGCTAGATTATGCCAGAAATCATCAGTTGAGTTATGTATGGAGAAATGGAACTGAGAAGGTAGGAAAACCAGTTTAAAGTCAGTGAGCAGGTTCTCAGTGGTAACAAGCTCCACACTGCTGAGATACAGGGACACGGAGGGGAGAAAGCTGGAGTACTGACCCCCCCACTCCTTGGTTGTCAGCCCTCTGTCCTGTGTGTGGGCAGAACGTACTCCAGCTGCTCCACACCAAGGCCCAGGTGTCTGCAGTAAGAAGCTGCTGGCATGCACGGGAACAATGAATGCCAAACACTTAAAGCAATTCCATGTTTAAGTACAGAAACTCTCTGTACTTCTGTTATCCTTTTTTAGACAAGAGTTTTGTTCTTTTTGCCCAGGCAGAGTGCAATGGTGTGACTTCAGCTCTCTGAAACCTCTGCCTTTCCTGGTGGAAGCGATTGTCCTGCCTCGGGCTCCCAAGTGCCTGGGCCTACAGGCATGCGCCACCATGCCCGGCTAATTTTGTGTTTTTAGTGGAGACAGGATTTCACAGTGTTGGTCAGGTTGGTCTTGAACTTCTGACACCAAATGATCCAACCCCCTCAGGCTCCCAATGTGCTGGGATTACAGGCATAAGCCACCGCACCCAGCAGATCTTCATTCTTTTTATGTAGTAAAAAATATAAAGCAATACTTGGTTTATTTGAAATACTTTATGATTTAAAAAAATTCAGAAGGAGGAAAACCAATTCTAAGTTCAAGTGAGGTATATTGATAGTGTGAACCAAAGGGTTGCATGTAGTAAGTAATTGTGATTTAAGATACGTTTTAAAGTGGGAAGTAGAAGGATATTCTGATGGAGTTTGACTTTGCTTTTGGGCCCACTGAGTTTGAGATGCTTTTGAGAAATGAAGGAAGTAGAGAGAGTAAAAGAAAAACTGGCCAGGCACAGTGGCTCGCACCTGTGGTTTCTGCCCTTTGAGAGGCTGAGGCAGGTGAATCACTTGAGACCAGTTTGGGCAACATGGTGAGGCCCCATCTCTACGAAAGATACAAAAATTATCTGAGCATTCTGGTGCACACCTGTAGTCCCATCTTCTCAGGGGGATGAGGTAGAAGGATCAACTGAGCCAGCAGTTCAAGGCCGCAATGAGTCATGATTGTGTCAATGCACTCCAGCCTGGGTGACAGAAGAGACCCTGTCTCAAAAAAGAATCTGAAAATAATAGAACCACTTTCCTGCCCTAGTGCATCTGCACTGAAGGTTCCTGCCTGAAAAGAGCTTTCCCAGTCATCCTTGGGGACAGCTCCTCACATCCCTCAATTCTTCACTCAAAGGTCACATTTGCATGGAGGCCCATGCTGACCACCCAGCACAGCAGCCACCCCCTGTCCCCACAGCCCACACTCTGATCACCTGCCTACTGCATTTGCCACCTTCTCACTCAAGCATTTTCTGTTCTTACTCTGCTTGTACTGTATCTATCATCTGCCCACAGAGGGGTCCATTCTTTTGGCTTCCCTGGACCACATGGGAAGAATTGTCTTGAGCCACACATAAAATACACTAATGACAGCTGATGAGCAGAAAATAATCAAAGAAAGAAAAAAAAGTACATGAATAATTTTTATGATATCTGCCACCACAGATAAGCAAAAACGTCTTCATATTCAACGGTGTCCTGGGCCACATGCAGCCTGCAAGCTGTAGGTTGGACAAGCTTCCATCTTGGATGTATACACCAGAAGGTTGGAAACTTTTCTATTTTTACTTTAATGATGTTTTCTAAATGCAAAAACAATCACATACCTAGCAAACAATAAATGTCAGTTGAATGAATGATCACTGTAGGGCACCTCCCTATTCTAAAGGCAATATCTTTATTAATGTAGCCTCAGGCCAAATGCTGTTTTGTGGCAGCTACAGAACAATGTCATCTCACGCTGACATCAGTGCTGCCAGAGCTTTTCTCCCCAGGGCTGCGTGTGTCCCCTCCCTCCCTCCCTCCTCCTTCCTCCCACACCAACCCTCCTGCACGCTGCAGCACACAACCATGTTTTTCTCTTCAGGAAAGATAACCCTGGGCTTATGGCTCCAATTTTCCAACCACATATGAATATAAGTTAGACTCTGCTTTATAAATCCATGAGTTTGGATTGGAGGCAGCACTAGGATTACTACAGCTCAGGCAGGAAGAAGAGTAGGAGAGAGAGCAGAAGCAGTTCCAACAGAAAGTTACCTACGATGAGAAACTACGGGCGCCCTCCTCTCTGCAAGTATCAGAATCTGCTTTATGAAGGTTTGGAAAAATACGGAAAATACAGTCCTGGAAGAGACCTGGAAGGAGGGCGAGAGGAAAAGGGGACTGAAAATGTGTCTCATGATACCACAAGGACTTTTATGTATAGAGACCACCACAGGTGACATCCAAGTCCCTGTGACCACAGGTTGTGGTGGGACAAGCAAGGGTCTACTGAAGGGCTAAGGACAATGGAGCAGCAAAGATGACACAGCCAAGCAGTGACCACATAAATCGCACAGTGGCCTGAGCACCCACTGGGCACAGCCTCATCTACTCCCTCCCCTGCAACAAATCAGCACTAGAAACACGTGGACTGTGGAAGGTTCTCAGGTCTTTCGCTTATTTTGTTTCTCAAATTTCAGGAATCTTCTCTTTTAATTAACCCATCAATCTCTCACAGAAATAATTTGAAGAAGTAAATTATATTCACATTCTAATTTTAATAGGAAAGTAAGAAGTTACAGCTCAGTGCACCATGAAGTTGAGACAGAGATGGAGCCGACCCAGCCCCAGGTCTCTGGAACAGGAAAGGTGACCGGGAAGGAACGCAGGTCAGTGTGGGGAAGGGGTTATGGTGGACACGGGGCTGGGCTGGTCTCCCCACCTCCTCACATTATGCCTGTAGGGACACAGACACATTCAGATGCCTTTGCAGTAAGAGAAGTCAAGGTTCTTGAAGTCCTAAATGGATAGTGTGGATAAATCTTGCCTCAGTCCCACACAAGGCAGCTGTCTCACACTATAAAAAATTTTTTTTAACAAATTTGTTTCAGTCACACTTGAAACAACCCATCACCAGCTCAATACATCCAAGTCAAAGAAACCCCATAACACAACTGTGTTCACTGTTCCCCCCAACAACCCACACACATCAGCCCCCTCTCCTCCCAGGATCTCACCTTTACAAGCTGTGAGAGATGCATCAGAGTGCTGGGAACTGCCTGGGGTAGAACAAAAACAGAACCTCGTCAGAGCCTACAGGAAATGCTGCTAGAGGAGGAATTGCGGGCTGGGTGAGCTCCCCCATGGGCTCCCGACCACAATATCCCAATGATCTCATTGATCAGCCTCCTTCATACTTACTTGCAGCCTGAGAGTAGCTTCCTCCTTTTTTATTTGTAGGAAGAAAATATCTTCTTCCTACAGATAAAAAAGGCTCAGAAAGGTGGCAGGTCCATGAGGTCCTAGAGAAATCTCCTAGTCTTGGAACCCAGAGAAGTTTCCAGAAATGTGTGACTAAAGACTCAGGGAAGGATCAGGAAAAACAAGGAAAGCAGCTGTGGGTCCTGGACCAACTGCCCTCCTAAGGACTGTCCTCAGCAGGGAAGTTCACTTGTGAACTGTGACTGCTGGGATCAGGTCCCCATCACCACAGTCATCAAGGTGATACATCTGTCCTTCATTGTCACAGGTGCTTTACACAAGAGTAAGTGCTGGCACACAGGGCCCAGGCTGGGTCGGCTCATGTGTGTGGATGATGCTTCCCAGTAACCAGGCAGGACACACTTCTACCTGGGGCTTGGAACCCTCAGTGGGACAAGAAATCTCAGACCCCACTCCTCACGCCTTCCTCACCTGCGCTCTTCCTCCTCCACATCACAGCAGCGACCACAGCTCCAGTGACTACAGCTCCAAAGACAGCCAGGACAGTAATGATGTCCATGATGGAGATGGTGGGCTGGGAAGGCGGCTCTGGGAAAAGAGGAGAAGGTGAGGGGCCCTGATCCCAGGTCCCAGCCCAACCCTGCTAAAAGTCTCCAGAGGGGCTCCTGGTTTCCCTAAAAGACATGACACTCCTATCTCCCTCCTTACCCCATCTCAGGGTGAAGGGCTCAGGCAGCCCCTCATGCTGTACATGGCATGTGTATCTCTGCTCCTCTCCAGAAGGCACCACCACAGCTGCCCACTTCTGGAAGGTTCCATTCCCTGTGGGCCTGGTCTCTACCAGCTCCATGTCCTGGGTCTGGTCCTCCCCATCCCGCTGCCAGGTCAGTGTGATCTCCGCAGGGTAGAAGCCCAGGGCCCAGCACCTCAGGGTGGCCTCATGGTCAGAGATGGGGTGGTGGGTCATATGTGTCTTGGGGGGCTCTGTAGGGAAGAGTCAGAAAATTCAGACACTTTGCATCTCTCATTGGACACCCCAACAGCTCCCATGTAACCATCCTGAGAATGGACAGGACACCTGGAGTAAGGAAGGGAGCACAGAACAGAGACACCTGCCTGGACACAGGCACCTGAGATAATGTCCTGTTCCTTGGAAAGTTCTAGTCTCAGGGGGGATCCGGGACTTCTGGTCCTGATCTGAGTGGAAGCCAAAAAACTCAGAGGAGCTAGAGTCAGACACCCCCCGCCCCGCTCCACACCACACACATTGAGTGTGAGGCAGAGGACAAGGCAGGAGAAGAAAATCCTGGTGCCCAACGCTGCTGTGGGGTCACGGGGAACCCCTGATCAGTATTCCAGGGATTGACTTCCCCTCCTTTCCGTCAGACTGCAAGCCTTAATTGTATCGAAGAACAGGGCAGGCCCTCAGGTACTCTCTGGTACAGGATCTGGAAACCCAGAAGGATTCCTCTCCCTCAGGACCGGAGGGAGGGCGATATTCTAGTGTTGGTCCCATTTTCCTCCCCTCCTTCTGCACGGCCAGCCTGGGAGGTCTACAGGCAATCAGAGAGGTTCCCGCTGGCCCCTGGTACCTGGGCTCTCCAGCGTCTCCTTTCCTTTCTCCACGTATCTGCGAAGCCACTCCAGGCACTCGCGCTCCAGGTAGGCTCTCACTTGCTCCGCCACATTGTCTGCCTCCCACTTGCGCTTGGTGATCTCAGCCGCCACGTGCCCGGTCGTCCACGAGCGCAGGTCCTCGTTCAGGGCGATGTAGTCCTTGCCGTCGTAGGCTTGCTGTTCATACCCGCGGAGGAGGCGATCATCAGGCCCCAGGTCGCAGCCAAACATCCTCTGGATGGTGTGGGACCCTGGCCCCGGCCCCGCGGTCAGCCCCGCCCACCGAGCCCCGCCCCCGCCCCACCCGAGGGATTTTTGCCTCAACTGAAAATGAAACCAGGTAAAGGTGCCCAAGTTTCTCCCGGGCCGAGGGTCTGGGCGGGTCCCGCAGAATCGGGGTGGATCTTGGACCCGGAGACTCAGGGCGACCCAGGCCGTCAGCAGGGAACCCGGAGAGGTCGTCACCTGCGCCCCGGGCCGGGGTCACTCACCCGCCTCACTCTGGTTGTAGTATCCGAGCGCGATCCGCAGGTTCACTCGGTTAATCTGTGCGGTGTCCCTGACTCTCCGTGTCTGCTCCTCCCAATACTCCGGCCCCTCCTGCTCCACCCACGCCGCCCGCGGCTCCATCCTCTGACTCGCGGCGTCGCTGTCGAACCGCACGAACTGCGTGTCGTCCACGTAGCCCACGGCGATGAAGCGGGGCTCCCCGCGGCCGGGCCGGGACACGGAGGTGGTGAAATACCTCAGGGAGTGGGAGCCTGGGGGCGAGGAGGCGCTGAGACCCACCCGACCCTCCTCCCGGGTCCTGCGCCCCCCCTGGGCGGGCCCCTCGCTCCTCCCCGCCGAGGCCGTTTCTCTCCCGACCCCGCACTCACCCGCCCGGGTCTGGGTCAGGGCCAGGGCCCCCGAGAGCAGCAGGAGGAGGGTTCGGGGAGCCATGACCGCCATCCTCGGCGTCTGGGGAGACTCTTGAGTCCGGGTGGGTGACTGGGGACTTTAGAACCGGGACCGCGGCGACGCTGATTGGCTTCTCTAGAAACCCGGCACCCAATGGGAGTGGGAACTGGGGACGCGTCATGAGTATCCAGGAAGAAGGACCCGACACAGGTTGGGAGAGGAAGAGAAACTGCGGAGATGGGGAATCCCCAAAGCTGCGCCTCCCAATCCACACACCGCCTTCCGGACCTGAGACCCTGAGAGCCACGCCTGGGACCTGGGACTTCGCCCTGACCCCGCTCCTCCTGTGCCAAGCGCTCTGTCTCAATGTCTCCCTCAGTCTTGGCCCAGGAGCTGCTGAGAAACCAGAGAGAAACCCTCAGCATGGGCCCCGTCCCTCTCCCTTCACTTTTCATCCCTGCATCCCGGTCCCTGAACTGGACTCCCTGCCTCCAACTCCTTTCCTGTCCCCCTGGACTCTTCTAGAAGAAAACTCACTCCAGGAAGCTTAGTGCCAGAGTGTGCTCACCCTCGGAATGGAGGAGCAGAGACAGGACTTTTTGTTTTGTTGTTGTTGTTGTTGTTGTTGAAATCTAGAAAAAATTTTGCCTGAGAGCATGAGATAGCATAGGGACCTGTTTGCTTTCTGTTTATTAACTACAGTGGGCAGCAGAATCTTGATAACTCCTGAATAATCGGGAACCTAATTGTTAAAAAATGTGACTTTGGCCCCTTCATATGTAAATGTGTCTGAAAGCATTACAACAGGACTTAAAAATCTCCCGTTTCACTTTCCCAATGTATCTGTGACTCCCGCTTGTTGTATTTTGAATTTACCCTCACTCCACAGCCCTGAGGTCCAGAACATCTCCTCAATACAAAGCAGCACACTGTGTTACTGCATGTTGCAACCAGGAGCCAGTACAGACTTCATTCACCTCACAGTCTCAAGTGTTCAAGGCAGTAACCATGCCCCTCACCAGTGCTCATGCACTGCCTGTTTTTAGGAAGTGTCCACATCTAAGTGGTGTGTTTATTTTATAGGAACACTCAGTATTTTTTAGAGCTAATTAACATAAAAACAATTCGTTTTTAGGCAGACCTACGTGAGGTATTAAAGGCCAACTGCGTAGAACACCCTGACAGGCTCTGTAGTTGGATGTATTAAAAATCTATAAACCTAGGAATTCTGCTGCTTTCAAATTCTTTCCTCTGCTCCTTCTCCTCACCTCCTGCTTCTCCAGCCCTTTCTTCTGTCCCTCTCATCCCTAAGGCCCTCCTTTCCCTTTATTCTACACCACCCTGTCACTCCTGAATAGTGGTTTTGGCACTGTCCTGTTACCTGCTACATGACTGTTCTTTCCACAGTGGTCCTGCTACTGATACTCAGAATGTGTCATTTCTCCCCTTAAAACAATCCAGTGGCTCCACCTCAATCTTGTGAACCTTCTAGAATGTCAGGCACATGAATATATGAGGGCATACCTGGTTCAGTGTAGGCACTAAATTATTTTTTTTGACTGAGTGATTGAAATATAAGTGTATTAAAATTGACCACAGAAAATTACAGAATGTTAAAACGCCGAGAAAATTAAAACAGATTTTATTTTATGTAACTAGTGTGGATATCAATTCATCAATTTATTTCATGAGTCTGTTGAACCTATGTGTGAATTTTATAAGACTGGGTAACAAATTATCACAAACGTTGGCTTTAAACAACACCCATTTATTGTTGATTTATTTATTTTTAGAGACAGAGTCTCCCTCTGTCATCCAGGGTGAAGTGCAGTCGCATGATCATGGCCCACTGCAGCCTCAAACTCCTGGGTTCAAGGGACCCTACTGCCTCAGTCTTCAGAGCAGCTACGATTGCAGCCACCATGCCCAGCTAATTAAAAAAATAAATGTAGAGACAAGTGTCTCACTACATTATCCTGGCTGGTCTCAAACTCTTGGCTGCAAGTCATTCTCCTCTGTCAGCTCCTCAAATGTTAGGATCACAGGCGTGCACTACAACTCCTGGCCAAGCAATACCCATTGAGCTGTTTATAGTTCCTTAGTCAGAAGTCTGGGCAAAGATGTGGATGGAATCTCTGTTCTGGACTTTCCAAAGCTGTGTTTTCATTTTGAATCCTCCTTCAAGTTTTTACAGAGGTGGCAGAATGCAGTTTCTGGCAGCTGTAAGACTGAGGTCCCTGTTCCTTTCTGGCTGTCAAGGTAGAGAACAGGGAGGGCTGTGTTCAATTTCTGGTGCCCACCAGTGTTCTTGCCTACACTCTCCCTTCATTTTCAATGCCCACAGTGGAGGAAACCCCTCAGGCTGAATCCCTCTCACACTTCGAATCTCTATGCTAAGGAAGAACCCAGTCCTTTCAAGGGCTCAACTGATTAGGACTGTCCAAGCAGGATAAACTCAGCCTAAAGTGAACTAATTGAGGCCCTTAATTATATCTGTTGAATCCCTTCACAGCAGCACCTACATTAGAGTTAGTTGAATAACTAGGGGAAGGTGAATGACCAGGAGGTGGTTGTCGGGGCCATCATAGAATCAGCCTAGCAAGGATTGGATCTTCCTTTTGTGTTTAATTGAGACACAGTTAGAAATTGAAGTTAAAGTAGAGTGATCATTGTGAACGTTAATAAAATGCATCCTCTTCAGCCATGGAAATTCTCCTTACCTTTTACAAGTAAGTTACATGTTTAATATCTTATAGCTAATTTAGGTCTGGTGTAATGGCTCACGCCTGCAATCCTAGCACTGTGGAAAGCAGAGGAAGGCAGATTTTTTTGACTCCAGAAATTCAAGATCAGCCTGGGAAACATTGTTAAACCCACATCACTATAAGAAAAATTAGAAAATTAGCCAGGCGTGGTGGTTCATGCCTGTAGTCCTAGACACTCAGGAGGCTGAGGTCACAGGATCCCTTGAGCCCAGGAGGTCGACACTGCAGTGCATGGTGATGATGCCACCGCACTCCAGCCTGGGTGACAGAGTGAGACCTTGTCTCAAAAATAATAATGATGATGATAAATTTAGAGCAAATGGAAATTAATGTATAATAATACATACTTTCTTGGGAAAATTAGTTATTTACTATTGTATAACGAATTGTGTAAAACTTAGCAGCTCAAAACAACAAATGTTCATCATCTCCCACAGTTTCCAATGCTAAGCAATGTAGGAGAGGTTTCCCTGAGTGCTTCTGGCTCAGTTCCTCTCACAAGGTTGTAGTCTAGTTGTCAGCCGAGGGCTGCATCATCTGAGCGTTTCCCTGGGGCTGAGGATTCACGTGAAACATGGCTCAGTCACATGGCTGTTGGAAAAGGCCTAGTTTCTTGTTGTCTGGTCTCAGAAGACCTCAGTTCTTAGCTACTTGGACCTTCCTGCAGGGCAGCTTATAGTACAGCAGCTGGCTTACCCCAGAGCTCATGATCCCAGAGACAGAGAGAGAGAAAGTAGAAGCCACAGTGAGTTTTATGTTCTACATCCAGAGTCACAAAGTGTTATCTCATCTGCGCTATCTGTTGGAAGTTGTATTACCTGGTTCTCACACTGCTATAATGAAATACCTAAGACTGGTTTATTTATAAAGGAAAGAGGTTTAATTGACTCACAGTTCTGCATGGCTGAGAAGGCTGCCCCAGGAAACTTACAACCATGGCAGAAGTGGAGGTAAACACATTTTTCACGTGGTGGTAGGAAAGAGAAATGCAGATTGAAGGGGGAACCCCTTATAAAACCATGAGATCTCATGAGAATTCACTCACTATCATTAGAACAGCATCGGGGCAGGGTGTGGTGGCTCATGCCTATAATCCCAGCAGTTTGGGAGGCTGAGGTGGGCAGATCATGAAGTCAGGAGTTCGAGACCAGCCCAACCAAACATGGTGAAACCCTGTCTCTACTAAAAATACAAAGATTGGCCAGGCATGGTGCCACACTCCTGTAATCCCAGGTACTCTGGAGGCTGAGATAGGAGAATTGCTTGAACCCAGGAGGTGGAGGCTGTGGTGAGCCAAGATTGTGCCGTTGCACTCCAGCCTGGGCATGAGAGGGAAGCTCCATCTTAAAAGTAAATAAAAGAACAGCATGTGGGAACCATCCCAATAATCCAGTCACCTCCTTTGTGGACCCTTCCTCAATATGGAAGGATTATAATTCACACAAAAATTTAAGATGAAATTTAGGTAGGAACATAGAGCCAGGCCATATCGGAAGTGCATTGCTAAGTCCAAGCCACGCTCAAGAGAGGGAAGTAAGCTGCACCTCTGGAAGGGAGCGGTATTAAAGCATTTGCATATATGTTGAAAGCAAAATTAAAAGTATTCTCTCAGGATTTTGTAAATCAAAATCTTCTTTCATCTAATTATTTTTCTTTAACATGGTTTAAACTCTTTCGATTCAATTTTAAATAATGTTTTAACCTTGTCTTTTAATTTTATTTCATTTTAAGTTTAGGGTACACGTGCAGGATGTGTAGGTTTGTTCATAGGTAAACATGTACCATGGTGGTTTGCTGCACCTATCAACCCATCACCTAGGTATGAAGCCTGGCATGCATTAGGTATTTTTCCTAATGCTCCCCCCACTACCACCCTCCCACAACAGGCCCCAGTGTGTGTTGTTCCTCTCCCTGTGTCCCTGTGTTCTCATTGCTCAGCTGTCATTTGTACATGAGAACATGCAGTGTATGGTTTTCTGTTCCTGTGTTAGTTTGCTAAGGATAATGGTTTCCAGCTTCATCCATATCCTTGTAAAGGACTTGATCTCATTCCTTTTCATGGCTGCATAACATTCCATGGTGTAGATGTATCATATTTTATTTATCCTGTCCATCGTTGATGGACCTTTGGGTTGATTCCATGGCTTTGCTATTGTGAATAGTGCTGCAGTGAACACACACATGCATCTGTCTTTATAATAGAATGATTTCTATTCCTTTGGGTATATACCCTGTAATGGGATTGCTAGGTCAAATGGTGTTTCTGATTCTAAATCTTTGAGGAATCGCACACTGTCTTCCACAATGGTTGAGCCAATTTACATTTATACCAACAGTGTAAAAGCATTCCTATTTCTCTGCAACTTTGGCAGCAACTGTTGTTTCTTGACTTTTTAGTAATTGCCATTCTGACTGGCATGAGATGATATCTCATTGTGGTTTTGATTTGCATTTCTTTAATGATCAGTGATGTTCAGCTTTTAAAAATATGTTTGTTGGCTGCATGTATGTCTTCTTTTGAGAAGTGTCTGTTCATGTCCTTTGTCCAAAGATATATTGAAAATTTTTTCTCCCGTTCTATAGGATGTCTGTTCACACTG